GACCTTAAGAGGAGTATTTATGACATGACCTTGTGAAATATGGACAAATGACATGAGACATATGAATGGACTATTGAGACATGATATGATTATGAGACTATGACAAATAATGACATGATATACTTAATGAAATCTTGTAATAAGTTAAATGTTGAGTTCATGAAATAATGAATGTATGACATGCATCATATGCATATATTACTCCAGGTGTGCCGCTGAGGCCGCATACCAACGATGCTAACAAGGTGTACCTTAGGGTCACCGACAGTTGATGCTAACAAGGTGTACCTTAGGGTCACTGACAGTTGATGCTAACCAGGTGTACATTAGGGTCACCGACAGTTGTAACCAGGTGTGCCTTAGGGTCACCAGTGATGAATTGTGAAACTTTCTTATGGCGCCAAATGCATGCATTTATGAGTCGAGTCCATGATATCATTGCATGATAAATGAATGTATATGTGATATTAATGATGTATGTGTATTTGTTGTGTGTGTATGGGTGCTATCTAACTTTTATTTCTGCACCTGGAACTGAGTGAGATGTTTCTCACTCCCTTGTTGTTTTTGTATATGTTTAAATTATGTTGCAGGCGATCAACATCATGAGGATGTGGTTGATGAGGCTTAAGGCTTCAGTTGGGCATGCTCTGATAGGATGTGACATCGGGGCATAGTTAGCTTAGTTTAATATGTTATTATTTTAATAACTTTAGTTTCTCTTCTTTTGTAATTTCTAACGAAGAGACAACGTAGATAAAGTTTATAATTCAAGGAAAATGTATGTTAAGAATTGTAATTTAAACGTTCTTGATAAAAGACCAAAATGTACATCTTTGTTATATTTATTATTATATGATTTGGGAGTATAAATTAATTCCTAACTAGGAGGCACTGCCACCTTTACTGGAGTTAATTTATATTTCCTTTATTATTATTTGTATATATATGATTTCTTGTTTTTCACTAAATTGTATTGAAAATCTTAACTTCTTTTCTTTTATAATTTCTACACTGGAGTTATGATTTATGAGTTACGAATGTGAATCTTCTACCTTGTGATATTTGAAATATTTGTCAACTATGAAAGATTTTATTTACCCAAAAAGAAGAAAAGAAAAATTTTATTGTTACATTTGTTGTATATTAATAATGGGGTAGAGGGTGTCACAGTTTCAATCAAATAAAAATTCCTTAATGTATTTTCAATGTACAGAGATGTCTTCCATAGTGAAAAGCATATTCATAAGGAGCACAGGGGATGTGTGCAAGAACAATAATAATATGGTTTTGAATGGGAAGAACAAGTATGTGCAGTGGCAGTTTCAACTTAGATCAAAATCAAACAGGTTCAGAACATGGAAGAAAGCAAGGAAATCATATCAACCTTCAATTCGAAGCCAAGCCATCCTTAGCCCAGCAACCCCACCCACCACCAAAAAGGTACTCTACACTGAGATAGCTTTTTTTACAGGATCTAGTTAACATTGTCTAAATTTTCACAAATACATTAATTACTCCATAAAGTGCAAGAAATCAATCATACATTAAAATGAGAGACAAACAGAGACACGTGATTAAATAAATAGACATCACAATAACAATAAGCACATCCTAGCTAGCTCTTAACAAACAAAAATGTGGTTTAAAATAAGGTATGCAATCAATAAACGAGACATATATCCAACCAACATCTTACCTCCAGCCAAGCCAACATCTGCTTCTATATTTTTCAGATTACAAGCATTGTCTTCTATCTCGTTGAGTTAGTACTTCAAATCAACATTCAAAAGCACACAAAAAATGAAGTTTTGTGCGGTGAGAAAAATTAGCAAAAGGAGAAAAAAATGAAAACCCTAACAGATGTTGTGCGGTGCGAGAAAAGGAGAGAAGTGTTGTGGATGTGGCATGGTGGAGGTGATGAGGAAAAGTTGAGAGAAGTGTTATGGTGACTTACTTGAAAAAAAGTGTGTGGTGTACGGTGATATTGTGGAAAAACAGTGTTAACAGTGATGTTGCGGCGGTGATGTAGTCGATGCAATGCAAGTAGTGTGGTGGCAAGGAGACGGAAGTGTGTGTTTACGGAGGATTCAAAAATATTTTTAGTTTTTAAATTAATAAAAAAAATCATGAATAGGAAAATTTGCAGAAAATACTACTTAAAAAAATAAATTACCTGCGAATTTATATTTAAAACAAAATTTGTAGGAAAATAAAAAAATTCCTACAAATTTTTTTAGAAATTTTTATTTGCAACAAAAAAATTCATATAATTAATATTTTTTAGTAAAATTTGCAAGAATTTTCTTTGAATTTAAAATTACAAAAATATTTACAATAATTTATTATAGATTCACATTTACAAGAATTTTTACAATAATTTCCTACAAATATTTTTTCACATGAAAATTCTTAGGTAAATGACATATTTCTAGTAGTGATTACTTGGATTTCTACTTAGAAAGTGACCAATGATAATTTACTTAATTAGATACACAACACTAATATAAATAAGTGGATTATTGTGTAATTATTTGGTATTTTTATATTTTAATCAATTACGTAATGAGTTACTTTTATGATTCTTTGATTTTACTTAGTCCCTTAGACAACAAAGAGGAATGAATACATTCTCCTACAAATTCTCCATTTATCCAACACAACACTTTGATTAGAATTCCTTTTGGTGCTCAATCTATAAATCACCACCGTAAGAGTCAAACAAGATAATATATATATATATATATATATATATATATATGTATATATATATATATATGTGTGTGTGAAAAAATAAATATTTATAATACAAACA